GCCCGGCTTGAACCCAGCGAAACCCAAAAACCCAGGCGCCAAGAGGGACAACACCAGCCGAGAACCAGCCGAAAACTCAAAACCAAGCTGAAACCAACTCCACTCCACCACAACCAGATAGCAAACCCGGCGCTATCCGGCGCCAGGGATACCCACCAGATTTTCAGCCAACGGGGGGGGGGAGGAAAAAAAAAGGTGTTGTGAAGGGATGAGTTCTATAGCTCGCGCGTTTCGCTCGTCGCTCGCTTTTCCGAATCAGTGTTGAATGGCTCGCAGCAAGATAGCCCAAAGGATTCATGGCCTGACATACGTAGATCGCTGGGCATTCTCGCAAGCGGCTGCCTGTGTTCCGGTGTGCTGGGAAGGTTACGTAATCACGTAAGTCAGCGGAACCACCCATTTGGACCGGATTCGACCGTGCTCTGGCTCAAAACTCATGCTTTAAAACTTTGGCTCCCACCACTGCACAAATATAACACTTCTCAGAGTTTAAGAGTGCACAATGTTGGTTCGAACCTGGCAGTCGAGAAACTCGTCCGTCCGAAACAAAGGTGCCGCTGAAGATCTGGCAGTTCACGGCCGCATCAGAGTCCGGGGAGCTCAAAGAAGGCTTCTTCCCCACAGAAAACGTCCAACAAAAACAACCGCCAACAGCAATATCTCTATGTTGCGGAGATCACGGGATATTGCAATCTGGATCATTTGCCGCCTGAATTTTCAGAGCCTCGAATTGCCCAATGATACCGCGGCGAGATCCACTTGAGTCCCAGCCAGATTCTGAACTATCTACCCTCCCAGAAAAAAATGCAAAGGCAGAGGCCCTTTGAGAAGAAAAAATGATTTCCAAAAGGCCAAATGGCTATGACAAGGAGGCCATCCTCCCACTCTTTTTTCGTTTTGACCCAACTCCCGCCGGCCCGCCTTGTCCCGGATGCCGCCAACAGGCAGAACATGGCCTGACTAGAAGGGCGTGCGGGGCTCCGTGCCGGTTCAAGCCAAAAGCGCAGACGTCAAGCCCATGGTGGTATCCCCAACAGCCCCACAACCGCCTGGAACCTTCCCTGAAAGCTGCGAACCAGCCAGACTTGGGCAGAGAATAGCGGATAAGCGGATAATCTCAAAGCATGCCCCCCGCCTCTTCACCAAATTGTTCTACTGCTTTTCAAAACAGTGGGTGTCGAGGGTCCAATTCCTGAGTGGATGGCCCAAAAGAAGCAAACCCAAGTCCGAAACAGAACCCAGGAACTGAGTTGGGTGCTGGACTTCTCTGGTTTTAGCACAACTCGGAGACAGGGGTATGGGTCAAAAATAAGTCACCAGAGGACCGTTTTTTGTCTTTGTTTCCATTTACCAGGGCAAGCCATTGTGGGGTTACCCTATTTGTGACCCCCCACACCAAGTTGGAGGCCGACGTTTCTCCAAGCCGGATCTGTATCGACGCAAGTTCATCTGTGGCGAATCGGCCTCGCAAGGTGACCTCCCCCGTCACCGCGGTGTCGCTGCGCACCGGCCTGCGAAGCAGTTCGCCCGGGACCCCATCCCATGGCTGTCCAACAAATGCTTGTCAACAAAATGGGTGTCCATGCTTGGTTGACGTTGAAGGGGAGCAACAAAAACTAAATTTTAGCAGCTAAGTGGGGATGTCCCACTAAACCACAATAAGCAAAGATGTAAAATGTTTCCCAACGACAACCATGCATGGTGTCCAAAAAAGGAGGTTGCCGAAAATGGCCTTCTTCAAGGAAATGGCAAACAAAAAGGCCCAACAAGTGGTTCTCCATGTTGTTCGTCTTGCCTCTCTTGAAGCCATGGAAAAGGGCGATCTCTTTAGTTTGGCACCACATCTTGCAGATTCAATCACTTGACGTTTCGCTCATCCCGACCCAGACTGGATAATTGCAGGGCTCAAAGGCGGTATAGGTTCAATGGAAACTGACATGTTCTTCAACAAAATCAAATGGGCTCAGGATCCAGCAGAAACTCTGGCCAGAAATTGTCAGAACCAGAGTCGCCGGTTCAGCGAGCACTCAAGCCGTTGAATTCCTATCAAACATGGTCGGCCCAGGGTTCCCCAGCTTGGGTGAATGGTTGGAGCGGCGAAGCCCGGTAATGCCCGGTGCTTCGCTTCCTGCGCTTTGTCACTTGTTCATTTCGCAGGTTGTCAAGAAAAGTTTAGGCCAACTTGGGATGTTTGCACGCTTTGTCACTAAACATGAACATGTCCCTGAACCGTCAACTCTAATTCTTGTCTTCGCTGGACCGCCCTCCCGGCAACACACAATTTCCATCTGAACTTGACAAAAGGTTGGGCTGAAGCCCTAGAACCATCCAGCTTCAGATCACAGCACCCCTAAAGCGTCAGGTTTGAGCGAACCTCCTTTTGGAGGCCCACATTTAAAATTTATGAGTCCAATGTTTATTTGCAAAAAAGGCACGTGGCTGGTTTGCGTTCTGGATGAGAACCTTGTCAACCCCAAAGCGCCAAGCCCAAAAGGGCATCTAGATCCTCCAGTAGAGAGGTTAAAATAAGGCTACCCTGTTTTCTGTAGTCTATTTGAGTAGGGGAACCCTCCGCCCAAAAAAGAAACGGCAAAAGGGCACTGGGGGACCTAGGCATGGTTTGACAGGCCAGACAAAGACACAAAGACCGGAGAAAAGTCCCCTGTCCCAGTTGGAGAGTGAGCGCACATGCCCCGATGTCCAGTCGCCCAGTTTTTGCTCATTTCGGATGCCTTCTTCGAGGGTACCGGACATTTAGGAAAAGGGGGGTTCCAGGAAATCCCAACTTGGGGTGTTTTCGATTGAGACTCAGTCAGACCGGCCAACCAACCCACACCCCCCCAACCCCCCCCCCCACCCATCCGGCCTATTCAGCACCAGGGACGCCAGCGCCAGCAGCACCGCCACCCCCGCCGAGGGGCCGTCCTGGCGCTCCCGGCGCAAGTTCGGCTGAGGCACTCGGTCGTGTCGAGGAATCGTAGATCTGTATCTGTTGGGTTTTAGTGGGCAAACAGGCGACAAAGCGGTGTTTAGCCCTAGTCATAGACATTAATATCTGCCTTGTTGGGTTTTAGTCAACGGCAAACAGGCAAAAAGGATGTTGCCAAGCGACGTGAAGATGGAGAACCCCCCCCTTTATCTTGAATGGTACAAGGAGCCAAGCTGGCGGGGAGCGCTCATTTGGAGGAACACCCACGCATGTTTACCAGTCGGGGAGAGGTTCTATTTGACCCAAGGAAAGTGTGTCAAAAGGCAAGGCTTGATTCCTTGCAGCCTTTGGCCAAATCGGTATGGGGAAATCGGCGATTTTCCGGACTCAACGGACTCAAAGGCCCTTCATACGATCTGGGAACTTTGAAGGTCACACACCCCAAACGGTTTGGCCCAAATGGGAGAGGACAGGCAGAGAAGCTCGAGTCGGCGTGTTCAACTCAGATGCCCAGTGGATTTCCACGGGAAAAAAGGCACCCTGTCTTGCTTGGTTTACTTTAAAGGGGAACAAAAAAAAGTCGGGAAAAAAGGGAAGCATCCCACTGGGCGACAGAGTCAACTCGTTGGCCCCGCAGGGCGCCCGGAGTTCCTTTCTGCTCCCAGCTTCCAGGGAACCCGTAACGGCGCCTTGGGAATGCCGCCTGCCGGGAAGTGAACGTGGATGTCCTCGCCCTTGAAGGGGTCCCTGCGGGCGGACTCACGAGACCTGCGATCCCCAGAAATTCAAGAGCACTTTCCGCAGAGATGGAAGCTCAAAGTTTGGTGAGTTGGGGTGCACCCTTGAAAGAAACGCAAACCGAGGGGAAGCCCCTTCTGAGAAGGGCCCCTTCTGGGTAAATCGGGGAACCTTGTGGAATTCTGGATGCAGAGAACAACCCTTTTGGAAGGATGCTTTGAATGAAACTAAAATAAACGTCCGAGCAAAAGTTCGAGGGAAATGAGCCAAAGGGGCCTCAGCAGTCTACTTGACCACCTTCTGGCCAAAGAAAGGTACTGTATACTCTCGCAAAGACAGGGTTTTGCACATTTGGGGACAGGATACCAAAAAGGTGGCCCCCCCGATCAATTCGGGTACCGGAATCCCGGGTCCAGCCCCGGGACCCGGGCAATACATTGCAAGAAGCATCGGACGGAACGGCAAGGCCTTATAGGCCTTCGCTACATCGGATCTTCCACAAAATGTCCCCTTCAAACCATCTTGGTAAAGAGGGTGTCTAGTGGTTTGACTTACCCTTGGGCACTGCGCTTGTTTCTCTCATCGGCGCACCTTCAGGTGACGCGCTTTCCGGCACGCTCGCCGCAGCTTTGGCGGGAAATGAGGACATGAGGAATCCATGCAGGGCATCGGCAGCAGGGAACCAGAGAAGCTGGTTACCGTTTGCCGTTCTGCGGTCAGCTCCCAAAAGTCGGATTCCCACATGGTCCTCGGTGTTTCTTGATCTTCCAGCAGAATTTGCTTCTTCGGAGCATCCTTTGAAGCCATGCGAAGATCAAGGGTCTTGAAAGTAAATCCTAGCGCACGCGACCACAGGGAGCCAGGAGAGCAAATTCTGCTATCCTTGGATCTCTCTTCCGTGATCAAGCAGGCATTGAGCTGCCCGGAAACCATGGTTCGAGCATCCGGCAAGGCACGCAAGTCAATGCAATTCGTTCCTGGAGTCTCCTTCCAACCCCAAACAAATCTGGACATCCAATTTCAACGTCTACAGGTCAACTCACTTCATAGGTGGATTGGTCAGAAAAGGTTCAACCTTGTTGTTCACCACTAAACTGGTCTACCCAAAAAGTTTAAAGTCCAGGAACTCAGAAGTGAGTCAAGGTTGACCCTGACACCAGATTACAGTAAGAGAAAAATGCCGGTTCTGGAGACTCCATGCTCCTTGCCGCACAGGCAATACTGGTTCAACGACCCATCCATCTGCAATGGGAACAAGCGGCTCATGAGCCGCTCAAACCGATAGATTGAAACTGGCAGAGAGAGCGAGAGGGGTGTACTTCAGATTCCATCA